GGGGGGGGGGGGGGGGTAGGGCGTAATTTGGAAGAGTGGCCACAGTTGGGGCAAGAGAGAATCACAGTTTGGACAAAGGTCTCAGCGTGGCCGGTTTCAGTACAATAGGGGCGCCACTGCGGCAGGGAACGGTGTAGGCCAGGCAAAGGCATGATATGACCTAAGGAGAGGTCAGGGGTCAGGATCAGAGGTTCCCATTTGGGCAGGTAGGGAAAGTTTGCTCGGGTTTAGGAGAGGCTGGTCAAAGGTCAGGGTCATTGGGTGGTGGGGGGGGGTGGCGTGTCCAAGTGCACAGTGCCTGACCCCTGACTTGCGGATGAATGAACGCATGAGGGGCCAGAGTCAGGTGCCCAGCTGGCCCCTGGGCCCCTGGCCACCCGGTCCCTGGTCTAGCAGAGGCTGCTGATTTCACTCTTACTGCACCCCCACTTGCAGCAGTTGCTGGAGAGGCCATCCAGGACATCACGGACAGCGCGCAGAGCCCCTGGAGTTCCCTGCCAGCCAGGTCGGTCTGCATACAAAGCCCGGGGGTACTTGGTCAGGGCCAGCCACTCGCTGGAGGCTACTGCCCCGTCCAGCTCGCTGTCTGTGTCAGAGTCTGTGTCTGGGAAGGTGAAAGATGAAAAGAGTTAGTGCTTGGGGCTCAGCTGCGATCACACCCAGAGGCTGGCTCAGCTACTTCTGTTCTTGTGATGCAGCTTCATGGTCAAAAGTTTTATCCCATTCAGGCCTACCTTCCAGTTTTGACAGGCAGATTATTCAACCTCACAGAGCTTGACTGTCCTCTCTTGTCATTTCTTTTCTCCTACTCTTTATTTGTTGAGGACCTGATGGTTAAGAACATGTGTTTGGGAGCCTCTCTGAGTTATACTCTGGAGCACATGAATGTACTTCTCCGACCCTTGGTTTCCTTGTGTGCAAAGTGGGGATAATAATAATGCCTACCTTCTAGGGTTTTACGTGGAGTAGATGACAGAATTAATACCCATGGAAAAGCTTAGAACAGAGTCTGGCACACGAGAAGCACTCATCGTATACTTACCATG